CGGGTCGGTCGGAGCGGCCCCGCCGCCGCGGGGGGGTCGCGTCCCTCAGGCCTGGCCCACTGGAGGCTCCGGGGTCGGTCGGCTGGCGGGAGTCGCTGCCCGGGTCGCTGTCAGCGCGGGGCGGCTTCGCTAGAACTTCGTCATCTTAAGTTTGTTGTTACCGATCCGCCGCCTGCTAAAGACCGTGCTTCGTTTTGGCCACTTTAAAAAAGCTGTCTTGTGAAGGAATGTAAAAAGCATCTCCTGCTTGGACATCAAACAGAATGAAACAGAAATGGGTTTCTACCTTAGCATTTAAAGTAATGATACTTTCATGTGCACTAAATAGCAATCACGCATTGAGTTCCCTGGTTATATTTTTCTCTCATCTTAATGTTTGTTCTTTCAGTTCTGTACATCCCTTCTGTTAACACCTTTTAGAGGTCTGGTTTGCTTACCTTAACCTTATTCTTGCATTTTTTTTAAACTGTAGATTAATTGAGAATCTAGTACAAATCTGAGAACAAGGCGTTTATTTATTTGTTCTAGTCATAATTTAATTGGCCTTTTTACTCTTGAATATACTTTTGCTAAATTATTATAAATGTATTCTAGAAAGGTCTGTTTTTAAGTGATGATAGTACACCCTAAATAGTACACGTTTGCAGAGTATCTGTCTAAGTGAAAGTGGCCAAAAAAATGTGATGATTTCAAGCATGTGTAAACTCTCTCTTTGCAAATTTTGGGTAGAAAGACTTCAACAAGATAACTTCCTATTGGCAGAGTCTGCTGATGATGTCTGCCTGTGTCTCTTGCTAGGTTAAGTATCCTGTGTATCTTGGAATCTGAAAGTATAAAAACTGATAAAACTCTGAGTCCTGAAATGTTAAGTAACAGATAGGTAATTTAGTTAATTTGACAAATAGGTGATTAGTTGCCTGGGCTTGATCTGAATTTGAACCACTGGGAGATTTGGTGCTGCATAGTCTCAGTATTAGACCATGGTTTCAAAACTGCTGACTGTTATGTTCCACTCTTTGAATCACTCATTTGTGAAATAGAGGTAAGAATTTTGGAAATGGATCTATTGTGAAGTTTTGTGTAGCTTTTTGAGTCTGACTTTAAGGCCTTCCATAGTATTAATTCTGTGCCTTCTCTAGCTAGTGAAGTATATTTCTGTTGGTTGCAGTTTAGAGTGCTGTCTTGATTGCCATATGTGGTGAACTTTCAGTGCACTGTAAAAGAGGTTGAGCTGCAGAGTTCAGTATTTCAATATACAGCAGCTAAATTATGATGCTTTTCACACAGTATTGTAATCCACTCAGTTCAGGGTATTGTAATCCACTTACTTCAGGATACTCTGTGCACATGTTCAAGAGTTGCTACTTGCTCAAAGTCATCCTACAGAATAAATAGGGACTTAGATGCATATATGCACCCAACAGTGTAATATACTTTATCTGGCTCTTGAAAAATTAACAGTGACAAATACCCTGAGATCCGATACGAGAGCTTGTGATAAACTATAGTGAGCCTATGGACCTAGTCTGCTGTACTGTGAACAGAGCAGATCATGTAACTCAAGGGTTGACATAAATGGAAAGGCAGAAGCAGAAAATTTCAACATATATTTATTTTCACGCAAAATAGTTGTCTTGCAATGTTTCTTATTCTTCAGTTGCTTTTAAGTAACACTAGGGGTAAATAGTTGAATTTGATGTTAGAGGTATAATAGGTTTGTCTGCTCACTTCTTGTATCTCATTTGAAAACAGATTCTGTGAAGGAAGAAGAAGTGAGGCGTTGAGGCTTATAAAATAGTCTTGCAAAAAGTGTGGGATATGCTTTTTTCCTTTGTTTTTAGTAATTCAGATCCTTAAAATGCATTACTTCCTGTCAAAACCTTTCCATACCAAATTTTCCTTACTCTTACCATATCTTAGTTTATGAAACTCATGTTTGCATTAATTTTTTCTCTTTTCTTTCCTACACCCTGTTGTAGATAGGCTTCACTCACTATCCTTTGTACCGTCTCTGCTCTACTCATATCCTCTCCTTTGAGACATAGAACTTCACATTTGTACGCTGGTTTGTGGTGTCCAAGACTAAATTTACTAACTTAAGACTGGTGTAAACTTGGAGGTAAAATTTCTCAAGTGTAGCACTTTTTTTCTGAGGAGGTGTTTGTAGGCCTTGCTCTTTCATATAAATGTTTAGCTAACTGATGTCATCTGTCAGATTGAGAATACCTGTCCCTCACAGTCTGAGGAACACATCTTTCTCTGACTGCTGACAGGGAGGAAAAAAGTGCTGTTGCAATTACAGATGTCTTGAACTGATGCTTGTCCAGGATTGTAATGTGACAAATAGGGTTGAAGAAAAAATGGAGAGGGTCAATACTCTCTTTGCCTCAGTCTTCAATAGTACTGACAGACCTTGGGCTGCCTGCTCCTGAGTCAGAGGACCATGACTGCAGGAACATTAACTTTCCATATGTGAGCACTGAAATTTTAAGAGACAAGTTGTATCAGTTGAATGAATGGTCATAAGTTCATGGGGCCTATGCGATTTAACCCAGGGTACTAAAGGAGCTAGCAGAAGCCTCAGAGCTCCCATGGGATGTTACAGTAGGACCCCCTCTCAGTCATCCTGGGAATCTGGAGAGGTCCCTGCTGATTGGGAGATAGCTAACATTATTCCAGGTTACAGGAAGGGTATGAGAGAATACTCGGGAATCTACAGAGTTAGCCTCAGGACCTGGAAAAATTATTAAGGGAATCATACTGGATGCTGTTGAAAGGCATTTAAAGTACAGTGCAATCATCAGACCCAGTCAATGTGGGTTCACAAAGGGAGAATCCTGTTTAAAAAAGCCTTCCACAGTAAGTTCAC